GGAGGGGCCAACAACTTCCAAACTAAATGAAGAGATTAGGGTTAAAGATGTTGGTCATTAACATAAGAGCATCATAGCTAGCATGTGCACGTTATTACCGATTTGCGGGGCTGATGACAGCACCATGGGAGATTAGCTAGGAACAGATGTAAAAACCTATAGGTGCCTTATCTTGTCGATGTCTACTACATTTATGCAATCAATTTTTATAATCAATTTTTACCATCTTTATTTTTATGCAATCACAGGATCAGCACCAGTGACGATTTCTGTGCCGAAGGCAGTAACGCGCCAAAGACACAATCCGGACACATTTGTAACGACCTAGCGGGCGCGTGAGGCCAATACGAATTTACGTGCACGACTTCCATGCCCATGATGTTTGCCCACATTGGTGACTTTGCGGAAAAAGAAAACGGGACTTTGGACAGTCAGGGCAGAAGTGATCAAGTTAGATGGCTGATATCATTCAAGAGGGAGGGGAGGCCAGTCAGGAGCGCTCTCTTTTGCAGGGAAGATGTCTTTAAGGCTTTGTGGAGGGTGCGAATCAAAGTCGTCGCAGGTTTCTCGTAAAGACGCTTGGGAACGATGTCGCTCTCGGCAGAGACGGCATAAAATCCGGTCAGTAAATCGTTTTCTGGTTGGCACTGGAGAAGTTGGGCTCTCCTTAAGGGCAAAACGCGACCGATCAATGCAAACAAATCAAGATTGCGCCCTCAACATCACCTTCAGTGTTCTCGTTAGGCATCACAAACCCTGAAGGCGAATTTTCGCAATTATTTTCAAGGGTGCAGAATGCTACAGGAGCATCTTAGGTTAAAAGAATCAAAATAGCGCCATGAAATCACCTTCAATGTTCTCGCAAGGCACAACATCCTCAAAGCAGCATATTGGAATTGTTGGAAAACGTTCCAGAAGGTTGCAAGAGTGATTTACGGCAATCCAGGACCACTTCTATCCTTTTCGCAAGGCCCCAGGGCCCTTTGTAAAAGTTGCAAAAAAATGTTCCAAAATCGCACGAAACATTGCAAAGCACGCGCGCACCGCACCGCAACGCTATAATGTGACTCATCCTTGAGAACAAAATTCCACAGAACATATGAAAAGGATTTAGAAAGATGCATTGTCGTTTGACGTGCGTGTACCCGTCCAACCTTTCCTCTGTAACCATCACAAGACAAGAGCGATTGACGGTAGTCTCGCATTGACGCATGTTCGCCATCACTGCTCTGCCTCTGCTGGCCGCTCTCCTGAAGTGGAAAGATTTTCACCACGCGAGACTAAGTAATCTTGCCAAGGTCGCCCTCTGAGACCGCGGCTCAGGTTCAACGGAACCTTATCTGTCAGTCTCTTCTCGCGGTTCTTTCCTCTCTTCAATGCCGCCTTCTCACACTTTCATCTAAGAGCCACCTCTGCGCAGCCATGATACCCTGTAAGCAGGACAGCCAATGCAGGCAGCTCCATAAGCAGGACCGCCAATGCAGGCAGCTCCATAAGCAGGACCGCCAATGCAGGCAGCTCCATAAGCAGGGCCGCCAATGCAAGCAGCTCCATAATCAGGACCGCCAATGCAGGCAGCTCCATGAGCAGGACCGCCAACGCAGGCAGCTCCACCTCTATCCAGCGATCGAAGCTCGAAGGTGACGCCCCTCCCCCCGTTCGATGGGCCGCGCCGAGGGCGCGAAGCCCCCGCTCGCGTGCACCTAATGCTCGGCGCCCACTCGGGGAGGCCCGGCCACTCCTTTGTTGCACCCTGCCTAATAGTCCTCCATGGACCTTAATTATGTGGGCCGGCCTGTTCGCCTGAGTCACTGCCGTCTGCACGATGAATTAGTAAATGCACGGGGGCTGGACCGAAGTAACTTCGTGAGACGTGTGGACGTGGGGCTTCGATGACGTGACATCCTCGAGTTTTCCTGGAAGCACTCCGGGCCCAACCAGGTGAAGCGGCTTATAGTGGCCGCTGCAGTGCCATTTGCAAGTCAAAGTTCTGTTGACAGATTACGAGTGTGGTTGAGTAACGCCGCGACGCCTCGTTAACGGCGCTCGATTTATGGATGATTCTGGAATCAGGGTCACCTTCCAAGTACGCCCAGAACTCTGGAACCAACCAAGCATGGTATCGCCACAAAACATGCGAGCCTCTATTCTGCCGCCCGCCACTTCAGCGGGCTCCGATTGATCACACACTTGGGGAGAGATTTAGGGGTATTGTACCCGTGTATCATTGTCACAAAACACAATTTTGTATCGCGAAATTCGTAAAAAATGTGGTTCGTTTGCTCCTGATTCATATGTCGCCCGTTCTTTTGTTTGTGTATTTGGTATTTTTCTCCGTGTGGTTCGTTCGCTCTTTTGGCTCTAATAATATTACACCTTTGGCTTTGGCATGAACCACATCTGAGGCGATGACAGCACACGAATACCACACTAGGGACAAGGTAATACTTTAGGCTGTGGGGTTGTCGCGAGATAAACTGAACATAGAAGGGAAGCAATGCTCCCGTCGTTGCCCATTTGACATAAATGGAGGTATTCTGTGCGGGGTTTCACCTTGTTTAACAAGAAATGGCTTGCGAACGTTTCAGTTCGGGTCGCTTCCTTTAATGATGATATTTGGTTTAAGGGGTACTTCCACTGCAGCGGCCATTTTGCGCCCGTAGCTGTCTTGAAATCCAAGTGTCCAACGCATCCGTGGATTGCGTATTAAGCGTGCTGCCCGATCCCGCCGAGGGTAGATCCCACTAAATGCAGGTTACACAGAGTCGAGGGCCAACAAACAGAGGAGAATCACGTACAACATTTACGTTCATATCAGGCTCCCGACTAATAGGAGAGTGCAGGGACAACCCGCGCCGTGTGCTGCAGGCAAAGTGGCGTCCACGCTTAGCTGCGAACTGGCGACACAACAAACGCGTGCGTAGCTTATAGTGAGTAGTCACAACACGGCCACATTGGCGCTTGGCCTCCTGATAGAAGGAACAGTGGGTTTCGTAAGTATGTCCGTACGGAAGCGTCAGAAAACAACTTGTTCTCTTGTATTGCCCCAGTGAGAGCCGCCCACCCACCTACCCTCTGGTTTACGGCGCAGAGTACTTTTGTGCACTGCCTCGCGAGCCCTCGCTGACCTGGTCCTAAGCTAACTCACATCTTCCTCTCAAACGGACAGACAGCAGCCGTTGTCCAATGGCATGATGACACCCAAATTTTGGTCAGGGACAAACATCTGAAATTCAAAACATCGCCGCTCACATGGCAAAAGTTTTGACTTCTCCAACATTTGGTACTGGGGAAATAGACCGCCCCGGGGCCCAGCTGGTGTCCTAGGCAGACCATAAAAAAATGATGCACTGTCCCAGACATTAAAATAAGAGACTGTGACCATGATTTACTACCAATTTCGGGAGTAAAAAACATAGACTTACACATCGATCGCTATTGTAGTTAAAATTTCAATGACAACCCTGGGCTATTTCGGAGTTTGTGTTGAGTGGTCTGTCTATACGTGAGTGGCAAGACCTCATACAGCTGAGAGTCCTCAGTCAGGACTTGACCATTAACAGGACCCCTTTGTGATTTGTACGGGCGCCCGGGCGGGGTGAATTAAGCTCATTTGAAGATGCTTCATGCAGCTTATCCTGGATAAACAGGGCGTTGCGGAGTGCATAATGTTAAGTGTGAATGAAGAAAAAAGTGCAGATGCCTGTCTAGCACACCGTCTGTGCGGGATTGCTATACACGCTGTTCTTGACCCGGCTAGATCTGAAGGCTTATATCAATGGCCTGTGTCTATCACCGGCTTCGTGTCTTGTGATTGATTAATGTGACTATACTTTTTGTATTTTTTTATTTGCTATATTTTAGTATAATGTTTTAAGCTATCATAATTACATTATTCGATTACCAGTCTCATGTCTGTCCTAACTACCCAAAACGCACAAATATTTGTGTCATGCATCACAAAACGCGGTTCGGGGACTATGCATGAAACATCGGCTCGGACAGTTTGTTAGCCAGCCGTTGTCTACGGATGCGACGATTCGTGCTGACGTGTCGCAGACGCCAGTGTTCTAACGGCCACGTTATTTTTTACCTTTAGCACAATATGGCGATTGTGGCGGTGGAATTCGGGCAACGTTTTTATGACGCCATACATGCATGGGTAACTTCGAATCAAGTCGGCAC